CCTATACATTTCAGGAAGAATATTTGAATAGTCCTCTAGAAACTATATTTTGAGATTGAGTGTAGTAACACCTACTTGTAATCCCAACACTTGGGAAAACAAGGCAGGAAGATTGCAAGTTTGAGGCCAGAACGAGCTACATACTGAGAACATGTCTCATCAGAACAAAACAAAAACTACACCTGCAATGTAAATTTCTTTTTTTCCCTTCCAAACATTTCATTAAATATTTTAGTATCTTTAAGTAGTTGTACAAAGGAGTTGCCATTCAGTGAGACAATTTATGAATACAGAATGCCTTGATCAGTGTCATCCCTTCCAACATTCTCACACATTCTTCCAACCCACCCCTTTCCTCACTTAATTTTGTGTTCCCCGCCCCCCTACCCAACCTCCCAAAGATTTCTGTGGTGTAGTTATACTTAGCAACGGCACAAACACATTTTAACCTTCTAAATGATAATCACCATCATCCTAATCTACAAAGCTTGTGAACTCTACCAACATAAACAATAAAACTATTTCTTCCAGATCAGGTGATACATTTCTTTCCTTTTGCTTAGCATCAGCCGTTCCCTCTTTCTCTCATCATGAGAAAGTGTCTTTTGCCCTAGTTTCCTCTTCCCTCCTTTCAGAGTCCCAAAATGGAGTGAACCATTATGAATCAACTCTCCCTCTCACCTTCTGCCCCTGTGGGAGGGAAAAGGTTAGAGAAAACTAGGAAAACAACTGATGGTGGTGAACTTTCCTGAAGTCTGTGTGGCATTCAGGCTTTTTTGCATCTCAGAAACTCCCCAAGGAAGAACCTGAGAAGACTTCCTACGGAGGGGGGCACAGCCAGAGCACAGGTTCTCAGTAACAGTGCGAAGGAAGGATAAGCAACATAAAGACAAGAGGAGGAAGAAGAACCAAGTATAGAGGAGAGAAATGGGAGCACAAGGAGAGAAAGATGAGACCGCAGGAAACTGCAAGAGGAGAGAACACTTAGGAACTTTTACTGACTCTGTTCTGATAGTTCGTCTAAGAGCCTTCGGTGAAACCCTGAATTCATCCCCATGATGACTTTAAATAATAGAATCATAGATCATTTTTTATTTGTGCCAGTCCTGGAGCTTGGATTCTGTGCCCAGGTGCTGCCCCTGAGCTGCTTCTGCTCAAGACTAGGTGCTCTAGCATTTGAGCCACAGTGCCACTTTTGGCCTTCTCTGAATAGTTAATTGGAGGTGAGTCTCATCTCACTGACTTTTCTGCCCAGGCTGGCTTCCAAACTCAATCCTCAGATTTCAGCCTCCTGAGTAGTTAGGATTAGGATTAGAGGCAAGAGCCACTGGCGCTTGGCTACATTTCTTTAAAAAAAAAATCATTGCTTTACCAAGGAAGGAACCAAGAATTAGGCAAGTTACTCCTAAGGGACAGCAAAAGGGGGGTGGGATGGGGAAGGAGTCAAAAAAGGAAGAAAGGGAAGAAAGAAGGAAGGAAGGAAGGAAGGAAGGAAGGAAGGAAGGAAGGAAGGAAGGAAGGAAGGAAGGAAGGAAGGAAGGAAGGAAGGAAGGAAGGAAGGAAGGAAGGAAGTTCTTCTTTCTCTGTAACTATTTTCTCCACAGATATTCCAAATATATAAATAGGAAAAACTTAGGTTCAACCTCAATACTCATCTGGAATCTTATACTATATATTAGAAAGATGAGAGAACATGCTAATTATACTTTTCAAGTATTTTCAATAATGTTTATAATTGGCCCAATGCCTTAAAAACATATTTTGTAGCAGCCTCTGAAGATAATTTTCACGTCATTCTTTCTGTTAAAATTGTTAGCTGCTGGGCCCCGGTGGCTCATGCCTGTAATCCTAGCTTCTCAGGAGGCTGAGATCTGAGGATCATGGTTCAAAGCCATCCTGGGCAGGAAAGTCTGTGATTCTTATCTCCAATAAGCCATTCAGGAAACCAGAAGTGGTGCAGTGGCTCAAGTAGTAGAGTGCTAGCCTTGAGCTGGATTGCTGAGGGACAGTGTTCAGGCCCAGAGTTTAAACCCCATGACCTACAAAAAAAAATGTTATCTGTGTTACGTAGGAAGCAATTTTCAGACCTTCAAATTTTTTTTTCCTTGTGACAATGCTTTTATAATCAATCTTTATAACAACTAGTTTTTTAGCACTAAGTACACTTGACAGAAGGCTTTTCAATTAATCTTTACGCACATTGCAATAACAAATAAACCTTGGTTAATTGTTTTTGTTGGAGCAAGATAATTTTCAACAGTAGCGGAGAGAAAAGAATCATCTGGGTTGCAACTAATTTTACTAAACCAACATTGTAATCTGTGAAAATAGTATTTTATATTAGTATTTTATTACTCAATTCAAATTTTACCCAACTAACCTGCCTATAATACATATTGCCCAAATATTAACTATGTATCAGGTAATTTACCACTACACTGACAGATGGGCTGTATTTGCCTTGGCATGATGTCAGTACTTTCAGAATGATTGGTTAAATAGCTGCTCCTGCTGCTAAGAGCTTTGTGTTTCACCATAGAGAATAATTTCAAGGCAGAAGATTAGAAAATCTCCCTTCCGCTTATTGATCCTCCTAAACTTGTCTCACAAGTCTGAAAGATTCTCATCCTTTATGTCCCAAAGAACTTTTAATATTTTTATTGTCTTTAAGTAGTTGTACAAAGGAGCTGCCACTCAACAAAGCAGTTTATGAATACAGTATGTCTTGATCAATGTCACCCCTTTCAACATTTTCACCCAACCCTCCCATCTTGTCCCTTCCTTCCCTTTTCTTAACTTTGTAGGATATTCATAGTTTTTTGCTATTTAACAAAGCAGTAGATGTATACAATGTATCTTGATCTGTGTCACCCCTTCAACATTTTCGCCCACTTTGATCTACACCTTCCCTTATTTTTTAATTTTGGGCATATACAATAAATTATTAACTTCATTCTCTTCCCCTTCACCCCTCATTTGTCTACCCCTCTCCCCTTAACCCCACTCTTCCTCTTGCAAGTACCATTTCCAGTACTTACTTTGTTAGGCTTTGACTTAGTCTTCCTATTTGAGCTCTCCATAGAGTCTATTAACCTTCAGATTATTCATTTGTAACCACTTGCATACCTCCCAGTGTGTTTACTTGCAGGTTTATAGGCACATTTTATCTACCAAAACACGAAAGAAACCATGCAACCTATGCTTCTCTGGATTTGACACTCTTAATATTTCAAGCCTTGATCGACACACCAGCATGGTTCCTGTTTTAAATTACCATTGTTTTGAGGCTGCTTGAAAACATCTGTTCCGAAGTGCAGAAGCCAAGTTCTTATTTTCTATTAGGCCTTGGGGGGAGGGGAAACTTCATCAGTTAATGTCATTCAAAAGCGGCTACTCAAATATGTTTTGAATAATAAGCATGTTCTAGGGAGAGCATCTGCTATAAAAAATAAAAGGTTGATTGCAAAGTGATGTCCCACTAGCATGAACTATACTTGCAAGTGTCTGCACTCCTCTGCTGAAGGGTGAGTTTTATCTGTGAGGCAAATACTAGTGATATGTAGACCAGAGGAGAAATCTTCAGATTTAAATGATGTTCTTTGTTCCCTGAGTTGTGTCCTGTGAAGAGATTCTACTACTGCTGAAAAAGAATATTTGGACTAGAGTAAAAATGTAGTTCCAAAGGTAACTTTCTAGTTCCCTAACTCCAGAGGCTATTCAATGATTTTGTAGTTTCACTGTGAGTAGCACAGTCCTTCTCCTTAGAGCGTGTCAGGTGAAGTCTTAGGGACCTGGGCATAGCTGGGTATTCTTACTTGATAAACTATTTTGTGCCCAATTTCAGTTTATAGTGAAAATGGTGGGAAGCACATTAAAGGGGACGAACAGGACTTTGTGTGCATTTGCTAAGAGTAGCTATAACAAAGTAGAGCAGACTGAGTGACTTTAACAACAGAAATTACTTATTTTCTCCATGACTGTGGGAATGAGAAGCTAACACCAACCTGGCAGATGTGGTTTCTCCAGGCATCTTTCTTTGTCTTGTAGATGGCCATCTCTTCTGCGTGATTGCATTGTCTTCTTTGTGTGTGTGTGTGTGTGTGTGTGTGTGTGTGTGTGTGTGTGTCTGTGTGTGTCTGTGCCTGTGTGTGTGTGTGTGTGTCTGTTCCTGTGTGTGTGTGTGTGTGTGTCTGTGTCTGTGTGTGTCTGTGTGTGTGTGTTTGTGTCTGTGTGTCTGTGTGTGTGTCTGTGTGTGTGTCTATGCTCTAAGGACATCAGTCAAATTAATTGATCCACCTTAATGGCCTTATTTTGTCTTTTGAAAGTAATCTTCAAAACCAGACACACAAGTATTAGGAGTTAGGATTTCAGTTCATCAGTTAGTACTTATGAATCTGAGAGGACACTATTCAACCCGTTGTAGAACTGAAATGAATTGTTTAGATGAATAACCAGAAGAGCAAACAAGGAAAACCTTTGGAAATCTTAAGCAGAACTATTTAAGAGGTATGCTATAATAAAATTAGTAATGGGTTCATAATACTTCAAAGTATTTTTTTGGGGGGGTCCAGTCGTGGGGCCTGAACTCTGGGCCTGGGCACTGTCCCTCAGCTCTTCAGCTCAAGGCTAGCGCTCTACCACTTGAGCCACAGCGCCACTTCCGGCTTTTTTCTTTTTGCTTATGTGGTGCTGAGGAATCGAACCCAGGGCCTCATGCATGCAAGGCAAGCACTCTACCACTGAGCCACCTTCCCAGCCCCCAAAGTATATTTTATGATGACTGTTTTCAATTTGTTTCTTCCCTATCACTTTTATTAATGAGTAAAACATATATGATATTCACTTGATATAACCAGCTCAATGTCTATGGTACTTTTGAAAATTTATCTAAAGCAATACTGTATTAGGCTTATATTGTCTGCTACATGAGTGTGTTGAAGAGAAATATGCGGTCATTTTTCACTGTGCCAGACATAAACAAAAGTCCAGACCAAGCTTTTCTCATCTATCTTTTAATCATCCTAAATTAAATAGAAATGTACATATTCTATCAACATAATATACCATAGGTGTCACAACTATTAGCATCATGCTCAGTGCCTGTGCTGTGAGGGCTGAGGCAGCATTTGATGCCTGGTCCTTCTCATACACCCTCCCAAACAGAGAGACTGTCAACACAGGTCCGGATGTGGCCTTCACACTAAACAAACGTCCATCACTTGACACCTAATTAAAACAGAAAAATAGACAAGGTCTACCTTTAGGTTATACAGTCCCACAATATAATTTTAACATTTAGTATAACTGGTTGAAGAAATAGTAAAGATAGGCCTATAATCCTAGCTACTCAGGAGGCTGAGATCTGAGAATCATGGGGCAAAACCAACCAGGGCAGAAAAGGCTGTGAGATTTTTATCATCAATGAACCACTCAGAAAAAGCCAGAAGTGGCACTGTGGCTCAAGTGGTAGAACCCTAGCCTTGAGCACAAAAAGTCTTTGGGACAGTACCCAGGCCCAGAGTTCAAAAACAGACCAAAACAAAAACAAAAATACAACAACAAAAGAAACAATCGGAAGTGGTGCTGTGGTTCAAGTAGTAGAACGTTAGCCTTGAGCTGAAGAGCTGAAGGACAGCTCCCAGGCCCAGAGTTCAAGCCCCACAACTGACACACAAAAAAAGAAAGAAAGAAAGGAAAAGAAACAATAAAAAATTATAATACTGGACAAATATTTGTTTCATTAGGCATGTTTGAAGGGCTGGGGATGTAGCTCAGGCATGTAGAATTCTTGCCTAGCATACCCAAAGCAAAGTTTGATCCCTGGCACCACAAAAAAGGAAAGAAAAAAGAAATTTTAGAAATATCTCAAGCATTGAAGAACATAATAAAAATTGAAGTTATAGAAGTAGCACTGGTTCATTTTTACCAAACTATCTATAATAAATATAATTTATTTATTGGAAGAAACATCCTATGGATTCATAGACATGAAGTAGTGGATCTAGAAGAAGTACATAAGAGAGAAATCTAGTACTCTCAGACTCCATCAAATTGCTAGGTATATTAGTTGTTCAGTAAACCAAATGACTTTAATAAGGAAGGAATAATATTTTACCAACTAAAAGGGCATAGCCATTTTTCTAAGAATAGAATACTTCAATAGTTTTCCTGAAGACTTCTTTTTAGAGTAGCTGGCATTACGTAAGTTCATTAATTTTTAAAATAGCCTGTATTAAGGTTAATTATCAGAAATTGCTGATGAAGACTCCAACAAATGATCACAATGATAGACCAAGATCCAAACTTAGTGTCAATTACTCCCCCCCCCATCCCTACCATCACTCATTCCCACAGTTTTCCTTTTTTTTTTTTTTAATTTTTTTGGGGGGATCCGGTCCTGGGGCCTGAACTCTGGGCCTGGGCGCTGTCCCTCAGCTCTTCAGCTCAAGGCTAACGCTCTACCACTTGAGCCACAACGCCACTTTCAGCTTTTTTCTTTTTGCTTATGTGGTGCTGAGGAGTCAAACCCAGGGCCTCAGGCATGCAAGGCAAGCGCTCTACCACTGAGCCAACTTCCCAGCCCCTGCTTGGAAGTTCTTAATAAAAGATTCAGAGTGTCCTTAAAGAATTAAGAAATCAGTCTTATTAAAGAGGTTATAAGAAGGAGTCTAGGCTGCTTCCAGTCTTTTAAGTAGAAAGAAGATTGAAAGAGGACAAGACAGTACCTGTCCCAGTTCAGAAGTGAGTCAAGGCCTAGTGTAATTATAGGAACAAGATGTGGAGGAAAAGATAAAGGACAAACAATCGTTTGTCTCATGTGTGCTCTTCCCAGCTACATTCTTTTGTGGCTTTCCCTGTAGGTTCTGCCCTCACTTACCTTGACACAGAAACAGCTGCTGGGGTAAGGGAAGAAAACTGTGGGGGGCTGGGAAGGTGGCTCATATACGCAGAAAAAGTGGGAAGTGGTGCTGTGGCTCAAGTGGTAGAGCGCTAGCCTTGAGCTGAAGAGCTGAGGGACAGAGCCCAGGCCCAGAGTTCAAGCCCCAAGAGTGAAAAAAAAAAAAAGAAAGAACTTCCAAGCACAAAACTCTGTATGTACGGTGCCTTTCCTGATCCTCAAAGATAATCTTTCCCTTTTCCCAATGGAAATATGTATGATTTCAGTAGCTCTTGAAATAAACCAGTATTTCCTTTCACATGCAATTAACTGGGGAAATGAAGCAAAGGTTGTTACCTTAAATTCTCCAGGTGCGAGCCGAACTTCACTCAACAACACCTCAGGAAAGACATACTGGGTCCCAAAAGTGCCACTGAGGGAGAACATTTCAAACCTAGTAGAAGCCGTGTCAACTGAAGCACCACAGGTGTGTCTGTTAGTGGTTTTACACTTTAACATAGTGCAGACCTAGTGAAGCAATAACATCAAGACATCCAAAGAAAGTCACCATGCATCTGTAATCGGTTTGATCCTAATTCGTTTGTAATTCATTATTTCATAATTATACATCAATCAAAACCTGTTGGAGTAGGTGCAATTTTGTTAATTAACCTTAATAAAGATATAGATTTTTTTTCAAAAAATGGCTAGGCCCATTTAATCAGTAAAATACTGTTGCTCTAACTCATTAGAATTATCTGGTTTATTGATGAATAACTAATGTGTCTGGCAATAAAGATAAAGAGCTCTAACTCAGCACTATGGAAAATGGGGTCATGTCCCTATGGATAAAGAAACAAACCAGAGGGCCTGTAGATGCTTTCCAATTGGAGGTAAGAAAATCGCTTCATATTGCTGAAGCCCAGAGCATCTGTGAGAAAAGGGGAGAAGATAGAAAGTAGGAAATGCCTATACATCAAGACTGTGAGTCTTTTATGTTAATGCCTCATTTATCAGTGAGGAACTTTAAGCAAGAAAGCAATATGATCAAAAATGGCTTTTTTAGTTGTTTTTGAAATTGTAAAGAATGGATTGGATTGAGATTGTCAACAAGACAACCTGTGAAGAAGGTATTACAATGAGCTGAGAGAGACAGAATGGGGCCAGACCAAAGAAGAGAAGAGCAGCAGCATTTCATCAGACTGTAATAGTTTCTTCTTTATGTTGGAGGCTGTGATATATCGAAATCTGTAGCAGTGTACCATTCTATTGAACAATCTCAAAGGTCAGTTCCATTTATCTCTGGTACATACTCATTATTAAGCAAGATAAGTATATATTATACAAAGATCAAGCTCTTCATAAAGTAAGACAGGCATTATATGGAACATATGAGGAAAAAATCTTTAACTTTGTCTACATAGGATATATAATAGATATTTTATTATCTATTTCAATTATCAGACTGTAAAAAAAAAAACTTATTTTTGAGACATGTAGCCCAGAGTGGCCTTGCACTCACAATTCGACTGCCTTTGCTTCCAAAGAACTGAAATTACAGGTATGTGCCACCATGTCTGGCTTAATTTGTATGGCTATTTTTTTATGCTGAACCTGGGGCTTGAGCTCAGGGTTTAGGCATTGCCCCTGAGCTCTTTTGCTCAAGGCCAGCATTTGAGACACAGCTCCACTTGCATTTAATTGACTGTAATGTGAGAACTGTATTTATAAATGTTCTGACTTCTTTTCCAACCACTTTAAGATTGGTCTGATAAGCAAGATTTCAAGAGTTAGCAAATAAGAATACAAACTTCTCACCTAAATTTAAACTTCAAATAAACAGTTGTTTAAGTCATGATGTATTTCCTAAAGTGGAATGTACTTAGACTATACTAAAAAAAATATTCACCTGCCATTCTAATTACCTGTGTGTCTATATTTTCTCTTGTAATGGTTCTGACATCAAACATACCTGTAGATGGTAACACCCTTCAACTGTGTGCAGTCCATCAAATGCCCCTAGAGCATAAATTTCATTGGATCTCTTCTCGGACATCTGGTAGTTTAGATGACAGCAGAGATCTTTCTGGCAAACAGTGTAATTTCCTGTGATTCCTGTGAGCTCCACAAAAGTGTACTCATCGTAAAAGGCACTGCCCTTAAATTCTTGGTTTCCAGTTGAGAGTGCTCCTATGCTGCTGGCATAAGAACTCCAGTTCACTTCGGGGCTGTAGGGGTGGGAATCCAGCTGAGAGAGGAGGAGCTTTCCCTCTTCTGTCTTCCTGTCATAATGAAAAGCTCTTGGAGAATCAGGTGCATAGATGCCACTTCCTGGAGATGACATTCAGTTGGAAACACCATCCCATTCACAAGAAGAAAGTAAGAGATTTCATAGTTGTCATTGTCATTTGGAAATTCATATTATTTTACTTCATCTGTGCTATACATCTCGTTAATGTCAGAAAAGTACGTTGATAAAAGGACAGAACAATGAAAGACAATCCAACAGAATATGCTAAGAAGGGGCTGGGAAGGTGGCTCAGTGGTAGAGCGCTTGCCTCGCATGCATGAGGCCCTGGGTTCAATTCCTCAGCACCACATAAGCAGAAAAAGCTAGAAGTGGTGCTGTGGCTCAAGTGTTAAAGCGCTGTCTTTGAGCTGAAGAGCTGAGGGACAGTGCCTAGGCTCAGAGTTCAGGCACCATGACCAACATACACAAAAACAAGAATATGATAAGAAGTCATGCAAACAGTGGTGATTTCTTCTTAAAAAGAATGTATATTCAAGTTGAATAAAGTGAACTACATGTATAAAGTCGATTTAGATGAAGATTGATGCTCAAAAATTCAGAGTTGGAAAAATATTGAATTAATAGGTACATGTTAGAGTTCGTTTAAATTATTTCTTTTTAACTAAGTCTTGAAGATGATACATTACCTGTCATTCTGTTCTGGGGGCGATGTAAATTGGATGCAAGTAAATTGACTCCCATGCCCATAGCCCAAGCTGAGTGGAATTCAATGGCTGACAAGTGTGGTAGAACATCCATCCAAGCTGTTGGGAAGAGGATAGTGTCCACATGGAAATCTTTCACCAGGGTAATGGCAGGGTCGTAGAAGAGGATGTCAAAGCATGTAAAAATGCCAAATTTTCCAAAGGGAGTATTGAAAGTCATGACCTCAGGATCTTTGGGTGCATTGAAGTAAAAAGATTCACTCATGAAAAGATGTTGCTGTGATGAACAAAAGGTAAAGAGAAATAATCACATACTCAGTGATGTGCTCCTGTTCAAGTGCCCACAACATTCTCTAAATAAAAAGTGGAACTCACATGTAGTTGACAGTGCGTATTCATCTATGACCACTGCTTTTCCAGAAAAGAGGAGGGCTTTCATTCCAGTGGAAGGAAACCTGCTGGGCTATCTTTTCCTTACAAATGTGCATACAGGTAGCCTTACATATTAAGACCATCTTGAGTGCCACAGGTTAAGAAATAAAATAGGTAAGCTCTATTTGCCAAAAACTCTAACCACTCCCTTTGGGCAAAGAAGTTTATATCCTCCTTTCTCCTCAAGGCCAAGTCCATCCACTAAGGAGGTTTTCGTTGCCAAGACAGGTCTTTGTTTTGTTCTTTTCTGCACTTTCAAAAATCCTTTATTGCAATGGACATTTAATTGTTACTGAACATTTGGCCATAGAAAAATATAATGTTTTCTTTAGAAAATTAAAAGTGTGTATGAAACATCATTTAATAGAACAAACTCCACTCAATGTTACAAAATGTTAAAATTATGAATGAACCAAGTTAAAAGTTGATCATGGTAGTTACTTTAGTGATAGAAATTTTTACAATATTATTCCTTAGACTTCTGTGCTGCATATGCCTAGGGCATTTATATTTTCTATTTATTGCTACTAGCTCTGAAGCAGATTTATAGTCTGTTCAGAAACTTGTGATAGAACATTCCTCTTAGTCTAACAGAGTTTTACTCTGTATGAAACAGGGCAGAGTTTTAAAAGGATGAAATTTAAAAGGCAATGTTACATTTCAATGCAGGTAGTTCTTGGTGACACAAGCCTGTGTTCTCTCTCCCTCTTTTTTTTTTGGTCAGTTGTGGAGCTTGAACTCTGGGCCTGGGCACTGTCCCCCAGCTCTTCAGCTAAAGGCTAGCACTCTACCACTTGAGCCACAGCGCCACTTCCAGTTTTCTGGTGGGTAATTGGAGATGAGTCTCACGAACTTTCCTGCCCAAGCTGGCTTTGAACCGCGATCCTTAGCTCTCAGCTTCCTGAGTAGCTACGATTACAGATGTGAGCCACCAGTGCCTGGCTATGCCTGTGTTCTTAAATGCACAGTGCACTCCTACAATCTCTTTACAGCAGCTTGCTGCCTACACCTAATCAATACTATTTATATTTTGTCTTTTCTCCTCAAAGTATGTGCAGTACTGTCTATAATACTTCCCTCATGTCCAGTTTAAGTCACTAAGCATCCAGTAACAGATTTCAAAATTAATTTTACCTTGTGGTAGCGGGCTACCAGTTTTCCCTGTGAATCAAACACCACATTAGTGTTGTATTGGTAACGACCATCAGGGGGACATCGAGGGTCACTGGCATTGCATGGCTTCTTGTCTCCTATATTTGCCACCACATAGATAGAGTTGCTCTTGGCCAGACAGCTGAGTCTTTCTTGTATCTGAGTATCGCCAAACCTGGTATATGTTCATTGGAAAAGAAAGACAGATTTCTTTTCTTCTTTTTTAATAAGTCAAGGTTAGCTTTCAATGAAATAGAGTAATGATTGCCTGAATCTATTGTTTGAGACACACAAAGATGAATTCTAAACAACAGTAGCCATGAGAGGCCATAGGAAACACATGCTGAATGCAATATAGGAATCTATTCTAGGTCTAAGAGTCTACTCTGTGTATTTTTTAACTCCATCCTGTGTATGATGACCTGAAATCACAGCCTCATTGATGTGCTCATGTTTGAATATGCACAACTTTCTCTAAATATTATGGGGCAATTGTATATCCTTCTCACTGACTCCAGACCTGATCCAAATAAAGGGGGTGGGGTGAAAAGAGAGGGAGACATTGAGTTATTGTCATATTCTGAATGAGAGTGCCAAAACTTAACAACTAGGAGAATCTTGGATAAATGACAAAAGAGAAATAGAAATAGATCTGGCTCCCCTCCCCCAGCCTCCTAGACAACAATTACACTGGACGTATCTGTCTGATAAAACTACTTTGGAATTCTGAAAGGCTTGAAACTTCCAGGGGAAGCCTCTTCAGCGGCTTAAATTTATAGTCAGGTAAATTCATTTCAATTTCAGCTCTATGCTTAACCATGGCTACCCATCCATCACCAGAATCTTTGCAAGAGACAGTTGTGTGTGTGTTTCTGGAACAGTCCTCATGCAATAAAGCTCCTATCCTCCATGTGAAAGAAATATATACTCTGATCCCTCACTGATCACTGCTTCTAAGCACTGAAATGACAACAAAGTGAATGAATGATACTGAATTTTATCAAAATCAAATTGTGTCCGTCTGCAGTTGCCTTCGTTAGCTGTGGAGTGTTCAGAGCAAGTTGAAAAGTAGAATTCCCAAAAAGATTTTGGCCATGGTGCATTCAGAAAAAGACTGTTAACTGATGGGATTCTCTGCATGACTCTGATTGCTTTATGTTGAAGTTAATAAGGCTTTTTATCTCACTTCATGTCTCTTTAGTCTAGACCACTTCCACCATTTTTGCTGCATCACCTCATAGATTAACAAGCTAAAGGGTTTTGAATCTTATCAGCTATCTAACTAGTGAGAAAGAAAATTGCTAATCCTAAATGGGTATATGCTTCCAGTTACTTGGTGGTGCTTTGTTTGCTTTCTGGCTTGTTGATTTGTTTTCACTTTTTACATTTTGTTCTGTAGTACTGAGACTCAAACATAAAGCCTCACAGATGCTATATGCTACCTTTAAGCTCCACCTCCCAGGAGGTAGTAGAACTTTTAGAAGGTTGGGGGGAGAGGGAGGCTCATGGAACAAAGTTAGATCATTGGGGACATAAACCTGAAAAGGGTATTGGCACCTTAGCTCCTTCCATTCTCTCTCTTTTTGCTTCTCAGTTACTTTGAGGCAACAGGCCTCCTACATATATATTCTTGCCTTGATATACTATGTCACTACAAGCCTAAAACAACAGAAGCAAGTCACCATGGGCCTTGGAAACCATGGTCCAAAATAAATCTTCCTTTACTGTGTTATTTTACTAATGTGATAGAAATATGACTAACATGAGATCCATGCGGTTGTCTACCAACAAGTAAACTGATGTTCAGATAGCATCTTTCACACTTTGGTTCTTTACCTTTTGGGATGATTACAGGGGATCCAATTGACTTCCGGGTCTGGAATGTCCTCTAAATATGGGTAAATGGTGTCCCTGCTGAAATTCACACCATAAACACCATCTTCTGGAGTCACAATAATATGTGCACCCTGTTAAGAGATGTAGCCATTAAACATTTCTCAAATAACTGAAGAGTTGGGATGGAGCCATAAGAGAAACTGAAAAATGACAAAACTTGAAGCTGCTTTTAAATCCCTTTTAATCTTATTCACCCACCTTCCATATTGGTGCCATTTATTTTCTTTTCCCAAGAAGTTTAAATTTCTAATCCTCCTATCATATATAAAGCCCATAGTTATACATAACTACATAACTTTTTCACTTTTTTTTGAGACATTAATAGGTTTCTATACATTCAGGGTGCTGCCACCCTTCCCAGTTGTTAGCTATAAACCTAGCCTTTTCTCCAAATCAACCCCTCTCTGAACATTAGCTTCCATTTTTCTGTTATCTCTTCTTCTGTTCCAAGATTCGCCTGCATGGTATCCTGATCCCTGCTCTTCAGAAGGAGAATCACACACAGGTTCCCCGAGCTATGCCAATCCTAGAAGTCCTCCCACAACTAACCTGGGCACTATCAGATTGGAAAATCCCCTTGAAAGTTGCTGTGTCTTTTGAGGAAATGGACTAAGAATAAAGAAGAGTATTGAAAAGCCTGATAACCTTGGAAATGTAATGATAATACATGTAATATGAATGTATACATGACTCTCATCATATTTTATGTGATGATCCCCCCCAAAAAAAGAATATAAAATGTGAAATCAGAAACAAAAAAAAAAACCTATTGATTATTAAGAATAGGACATAACATTTAAGGTGTCAGGTGCCCGTGGCTCACGCCTGTAATCCTAGCTACTCAGGAGGCTGAGATGGGGGGATCACGGTTCAAACCCAGCCCGGCAGGAAAGTCAGTGAAACTCTTATCTCCAATAAACCACTAGAAAACTGGAAGTGGCTCTGCAACTCAAGTGGTAGAGCGCTCGCCTTGAGCTGAAATGCTGAGGGACAGCACCCAGGCCCGGAGTTCAAGCCCCACGACTGACCCAAAAAAAAAAAAAGAAAAGGCAGAACCTCTTCATAGAGAAAAACTCCAGGTTAGTCATTAAAAGGAAATTTCAAAGATAAAGGCTCTTGTAAAGTAGTTAAGCACCAGGATGGCTGTGCTCGCATCTGCATGTCTAAGGATGGCTTATCTCACCTCTTGGACGTTGAGGGCGAGGGGGGGGGGGTGGAGTAATATTTTCCTAAAGCTAAAGCAGAGCCTTCCGCTCACACCCCACCAACCAGGTATCTGCACTTCAAGGCCTTACCTCCAGGCCTTGTAGGTGGGTGCATAGCCCCCATCTCCTGCCTAAGTACCAGGATGTTTGCTTTGATAAGTTACTGCCTTGGTTACAGGAATTGTAATCACCATTTATGATGCTTATGATACTCCCACTGACCACTTACACGTGCCCAATCCCCTGCCCCCAGCTATGGACCTTGCCTTTAAATACCCTGAGCTATAAGACTTCAGTGCTGGTCTTCACTGTCTGTATAGCGGAGGTCAGCCACCATGGCTAATAAATGATTCCTACCCCTATTGACTGAGTGTTGATAACTCCTTTTGCTGCTTGTGGGTTCAAGTCCCACCGGCCCCGTGAAGCTGGGATATTTCACTTTATATATCCTTGATCTATACTTGATCTATGTATATCTTATTTAAACCATATCTGTCCAGATCACACACTTATACTGCAGGCTTTGCATTAAACTTAACCATTCATTTAACGCAAGCCCTTATTATGCATTAGCATATATACATATATGTATTATCCTGTAATTAGAATCAAGTATATATACACAATGGTAAGTACAGTATGAATACACACTGGTAAGTAATACACAACTTCTGTTAGTTTTCAGATTATAAATTTACCTGAAAATCTTTGAACTCTTAAGAGTGCAAATGTACAGTGAGGCCATTAATATTATAAGAATAGTACATGTATCTGCCACATTTATTCTGTAGCCTCTATCTGTAGCAGAAATGAGGAGCAAAGATGCTAAATTTACAGCTAGTTCCTCAAGGTTCTGTTGCACCTCAGTGATGTTGCTTTTCAACTTTGCCCTTAGTATAGAACACTATTTAATGTTCTTGCTTAGAGAAGAAAGAAGAGTTCTAATTGTAAAACAAAGTAAGTTGACTTTTCTCATACACATGCCAATCACACATCTCTAACTACAGTGGCCCGGTCCCCTAACACTCCCTCCCTGCCCCCCTCCCCCCCCCCCCCCCCCCCCCCCGCAATATCTAGCACACTGAAGAGATGGGAGAGAGGATACCTGTTTTGCTGCTGATGTGATTGCTTCTTCCAAAATGTCTAGATTCTGATTCATTAACACCAGTGCCTCTTCACGAGACACTGGTGTTGTGGTGAAGTTAGGCAGTATTACGGCATGCTCATAAACAGCTGCAGTGAAAGTGTCCAGGCAGCTGGCTGGTAAGACACAGAAAACTGAAAACGCCAAATAAGCCAGCAACCGAGCAATCACCATGCTGAAGTCCAAAGACTGCTGAAAATGCACAGCGCACCTTGCTATTTATAGAAGGAAAATAGGTCACATGGTTCCCAGAATGTAGTATCTGAAAAATAAATTACAAAGGCTACTTTGAGAAAACAGTGTGTCTTGACACTCACCGTTCTCAGACAACAAAAGACCATCTCTTCTTGCAAACATTCAGGACAAGCAAAACCAGAAATGCTTGTGTGTTTGTTCTCTAGGATTGCTTCACAAAGTACCACAAAACAAACAGGTTGGGTAAACAGCACGATGTATTGTGTAACAGCTCTGGAGGTTAGGAATAGTAATAGAAGATGCAGGCAAAGTTGGCTCCACTTCAGGAATGTGAGCAACAGAAAGCATTCCAGAACTGTCCCATGGGCTTTATAGAGAAAAGATCTTCTCCTTGAGTCTCTTCATAAACACACTATTTGCATGTTTCTGTTCAATATTTCTTTTTATTAGGACCTCAGTTTTAGATTCAGTACTCATGTTACACCAGTGTGATTGTACATTTATTAGATCTTAAACCAACCCTTCCAAGTGAGATCTTTCCTGAGACACTGGATTAACACATAGCAGTATGTGGTAGTCTGAGGAATAACCAGCTTTACAATTTTGAAATTATTCTATTTCTGTGTGATGACTTGAGTTGCAGACCTCCTAAGTGTTCTATCCCGCTGTGCTATCTGCTCTTGTGGTATTTCTCCACCCAGATGGATTGGGAAACTACATAGTTTGCAAAGAAATGCAGTTTTTACATAACAGTTTACAAAAGGAGTTTCTAAGATAAAAGTTAAAGCTGGAATGAGTTACCAAGAAGTTAAAAAATTACTTCTTTGACCTTCTTAGCTTAAGAGTATTAAATAAGAAACTCCCACTGAGTCATCTATCCATCTGACAAAAGCTTAACAGTCATCTTATCACAACCCAGGAAGAAAGCTGAACAACGGAACATCAACGATTTGTCTTAATGTAGGAGGTTCCAGGACAAACTCACCCACCAAACAGGAGAAAAAGGGAAATACAGAGGATGAAAGCTTATGATAGTTCAAGCAGAGTTCAGGGTTGGAATCTGACTGGATCACTGGATCAGTGGTTGATGAATTTTTGCTGGAAGCCCAGCTTAGTGGCTTTGAACCACCATCTTTAGATCTCAGCTTCTTGAGGAGCAAGGATTATAGTTGAGTCATTGGTGCACCAATCTTAAGGGCTACAACTCTATGCTGGCAATGAGGAAATCCTCATAGTTTTACCTCCAGGACTGCCAGTTCTCTACCTCCCAGGTTCCCAGACCAAATGAGGTTCTGAAATGGTTCAGAGCATTCCATTCTGATTGTTAGCAAAATTAAGATTAATAGACTTTGCTAGAGAATTACGAAGATATCCAGGTACATAGAACAAAGAAAGGTTTATTGCCGGAAGAGGCGGGCTGGCGAGACTCCTTCTCACGAGGGAGGAATGAGAAGAAGAAGCACTGGCTATTGTCTGGGGTGACCTATACAACCTAGGGGGTTGAGGAGGGGCTAGAAGGGGCTAGGAAGCAGAGATCCTGGTATGGACATGTGGGCCAGGAGCTTCATCATGGTGGACTAGGATCTATGGCTGCTATCCAAATAGTAGATAACTGGTCCTGAAGGTCACTCTAAGGGGCTCTTGTTGCCTATGTGGTGGTAGCAGCCCCAGAGAAGTCCCATCCCAAGGTAAAGGGGGTTGGAAGTTGATTATTTACTGCCTTTACTACATGGGCCTAGTGCTGCCTAGGAAGGGAGCCTGCTAAGCTGTGGAGAAGGGAAGGAGTGGACTAAGCTATGGGACTGGACTCATTTCGCTAACACTGATTTTTTTTTTTAAATGAAAACCTACACTCAAGGAAAAGTATTTTTATTAGAGCTTAATCTACCTGGAAGAAGAAAAACTTCAACTTTGGTATTTCCCTTACTCTTGAGTATGCCACCATATTGACATAGGATAGCTAGGGAAATTGTTATTTTATTTTATTTTCATATTTTTTATGGTAAAGATACTGTACAGTGGGGTTACAGTTATGAGAGCAAGATAATGAATCCATTTCCTATCGAGCATTGTTACCCACTCCTTTGTTTTTTCCTACCATCCCTTTCCTCCCCACCTTCCCAACTCCTCCCTCACCCCCTCCCAAGTAGTAAAGTTCGTTTTCAACATAGTGTCTTGTACATCTCGTTGTTACAAGGGGTCATCCTGTATCCTTATTTCAGCATTTTGTTATTTCCCTTCCCTTCCCCAAATTAGAAAAGATGCAGGGCACCAGGATTAAATACAGTGAAAACAGGGGTTATACCATGGGGGAGAACATATAAAAGAAATAAATAAAAAATCACATAGCACATTATAAGTACATTAAAAACAACAGCAAGAAAGATAAACCCTCTTGCATCCCTATCTTGGGGTTCATTTTGCTTAGCATCATCTTATATAATCATATGTACATAGCTTTTGACCTTTTCTGCTTGTCCTAGACATACACTAGTTATTGTAGATAAACCATGTAGTAGGGAAATTATGTTATTTTAAACAAAAATAATATCAGGCTGGGTGCCTGTACAGGTGGCTCACACCTGTAATCCTAGCTACTCAGGACCTGGCTGATATCTGAGGATCACAGTTCAAAGCCAGCCCTGGCAGGAAAATCCATGAGATTCATATCTCCAATGAACCACCAGAAATCCAGAAGTGGCACTATGGCTCAAGTGGTAGAGCACTCGCCTTGAGCAGAAGAGCTCATGGACAATGCCCAGGCACAGAGTTCAAGCCCCATGACCAACAAAAAAAATGTTATTAATCATATCAGAAATTAAAACCAAGAAATAAGCTGAAGAAAAGCAGTCAAGCTCTTTTCCTACAATGCACTCTTTTAGATATCAAGTTGCAAAAATAGGAGACATAAGAGATTGTATTTATCATCGTTTTCCTTCCAAAGGGTAAAAAGCTGGGAAGTCTCAAATGCAGAGAGACAGAAAAAAATACAAGACTGTCTAGCAAAAGGAAGTCTTTGGTAAAAGGAAGTCCCAAAAGTTACCTAGATTTGGGAGGCTCTCACTTACAGTACCTACCCCAACCGATCGTCTAGGGATTTGGAGTTGCTGTACTGACAAGATGGGCTCAAAAAGGAGAAAAGTTTTCAATAAAAACTGTTGCCCTAAAGTTAGTGCAGCTAACCAACCTCTATCCTTGACTGCAGTCAGAGAAGAATTCCATAAAGTAGTGCAGCTAACCAACCTCTATCCTTGACTGCAGAGAAGAATTCAGCAAGACTTCACCACAGTAAAATTGATAGGAAAGTTAGATCTAAATTATAAACATATGAAAATATTTAGTCATGTGAAAATATAATCAAACAAATTGGATAAAGTATGGTATACACAGGGGAGGATTCCAGTGGTGTAACTCCTTTGAACAACTAACTTACAGTTTAACAAAATGAATACCAGGAAACTGGAACCTGTGTTGTCAGGAGCACAAGAAGTCAAGGGAAGGGAAACAGATGAATGGAGAGGGGAAAGTGAATGAATGTAGTCATAACATCCGGTGTAAATATGTGAAAACCTTTCCTAATGAGCTAGGTAAATTGAGGGATGGGTGTGGTTGGGAGAGATGGGAAGAATGATGAAAGGCATGACAATGATCAAGATCGATTATACTCATAAGCAGACAGGCCCCTTTATCCATCTACTTATAGATAATACAATAATAAAAGTAATAGTAATAATATTCAAGGTACATAGGTGAAAATGGAACCAGGTAACTAGAGGATGGGTGGGGTTTGGAGAGATGGCAAACAATAGAAGGAGCATCATTTGTCAAGATTTCCTGTGCTCATAAACCGACATGTTGAACTAAAACTCTTTATTAGGAAAGGAATACACTTTCAATAGACTGCAAGCAGGTCATCCCCATGGTGAGAATGGTTAGTATTACCCCAGAACAAGGTTTCATTGAGTTATGTGGGGTTTGGAACATTAAATTCCTCCCCAAGACTAGCCCAAGTACAGTCACATCCCAAGTTTGGGACATTTTTGTGGGAGAAAAAGCCCTAGTGTGAGCACAAGGCTGTCAGTTCAAGCCCTAGTACCAGCAAACACATAACAACAATAATAATGTTTCTATATCAGGACAGTTGTTTCTACTCAAGATATTTATGACATGATTGGGGCCATACAAAACTAGCAACTTAAAAATGAGCCTCAAAAGATGTGGTCACAAACATTAACTCACCCCTGATGTGATGGCTTTAACAGGGAGTGTGCTGGTGCTTTTGTTTTTGTTGCAATGAGGAAATCTCAATTTCTTGAATTTCAAGTTGTGCCTTTGGTTGCCTTGCTAGGAACAGGCTAGAAAACTTCCTTAGGCCAAAAACTTTCCCCACTGCTACTATAGACAGAGGAAGTAATGAAAGAAATCATAGAACAAAAAGTGGATTGATCCTTCCTATATGTTATTTTCCATGTAAAGAGGGTGGGGTGGGATAGACAATAGAATAATTATTTCCAATTATTTCATGTTCTTTGCAGTAGGGTCAAAGTGGAGAGAATTTCATTATCATACCAAGGAAAACAGGCTGTTCTGGGCATTCAATTATCTCTCCAATTCTGATTTCCCTGAGGATCTGATAAACAACGTTGTTTCTGCGTGGTGCCTTGGAACTTTATTATGAGTGACTCCATTTTTATTTTTAGCCAGGTTTCTTAGGACCCAGTGCAGAACTTTGATTCAAAACAATAACCTCTTATAGTTTTTTATTTAGTATCCTGAACTGGCTCTCATGCAAAAAAAGAAAAAAATACACACAACACACAGATACATACGCAATTGGTGAACTATTCCCTGAAGTGTCAGAAATATATTTGAAACCATGAGTGAGGAAAGGAAGGAGGAAAGGCCAGAATATAAGAAATAAAAAGATATAAGAAAATAAAAAGATAAAAAATAAAAAGTATAGGTATTAAAAGATAAGGGGCAAAACAACTTCAAGAGATCAGTTCTGTTGTTCTGTCATAAAGATTAAGTACTAAGAGATGACTGTGATAATTGATTTTGAAGTTTCCTGTAATAAAAGCAGAGCAGAAGTCTACCTAGATAAGATTTAGGAAGGGGCTGATATGGAAGCTTGGTAACAGCCTCCAGATAGCT